TATGTCCTATTTGTTGAACATGTCAGATATATCATATATGTCAGACATGTTAGAAATGTCAACTATGTTAGATATGTTAGATATGTCAGATATATCAAATATAATAACTGCTATTGCAACTTCAGTTTTACTAAGAAAATTTAGTAATATTTTGCAGTTTCAGAATTATTTTATTAGTAAAAAACGTTTTTGAAATTGCAGATGCATTTTTTACTAAGTTTATTAGTAAAAATATTTCTGATATTACAAAGAAATTTACTATATTTTCTTAGTAAAATAATATCTTTAAAGCTGTAAAGGTATTTTTACTATATTTTTCTTAGTAAAATAATGTTTTTAAAGCTGCGAAAACAATTTTTACTATGTTTTTTTAGTAAATTTAACATCTTTAAAGCTATAAAGGCATTCTTTACTATGTTTTACTTAGTAAAAAAGTGATTTCAAAGTTGCAAATACATTTTTTACTATTTTTTTTAGTAAATTCCATCCCTAAAGCTTTGAAAATAACTTTACTATTGATTCAAATTAAATTAAAATATTTTAATACTTGATTTGAATTTGATCAAATCAATTTAAATATTTGAATATCAAATTAAATTACAAAATCTAATATAAATTAACTAATATTTGTAATAAAAATATAATATGGGGTCTTTGCAATAGAAAGGGAGGAAACTACCGGAAAAATAAAAAATGAGTTAATGCTAAATTTGAACATATTTCAGCCTAAAAATCATATTTGCCATGTAAAAGTAAATTGATTTTTCCCAGCAGTTTCCTCCTTTTCTATTGCAAAGGCACCATTTAATAAATATATTAAATAAAATGAAAATATAAATTATAAAAAAAAAGAAATATAAAAAAAATATTAAATAAATTAAAAATATCAGATAAATTAGACTTATTATAACATTAAAAAATCTGATTATATATTATGCAGATTCTTTAATCTTATGATCAACATAAAATCATTTAATAACCTGATTATTTTATTAATGCTAAAATTTTAGTTAAATGACAATAATTAATTTTTAATAAAAATTATAGAATTAATATTTATTTATTTATTTATTTAATATTGTTATTTGTTATTAAATATATAATAATTTATATAATTTAAATTTAAGCAATTAAATAATTTTAATAAATAATAGTATTATAAATTAATAATAATATTTTTTTTTAAAAAAAAAAAATTACTATCTATATAAGATTTATAAAATATAGGTCATATAATATATATAAACTTATTATAAAAGTTATGTGATATTAGGATTAGTTAAGATATTTAACATATTCTGTATAACACTTTTACCAAATAATCTGAAAAATTTTAAATTAGTTATTACTTAATTATATTATTAAGTTTATCAAAATCTTTTTTATAATTCACAAAGTACTAATTTTTATCCAATTGAAAATATAGATTTTTATTAAAGTGCTAACTTTTGCTTTAAGCAGTAAAATTTATATATATATACACATATGAAATGCAAAAAATTTGAAAAATAAATAAAATAAAAATAAATATTTTTAATTTAAGATAAATAATGATTTTAATCTCATATATTATTACCATATTATCTATCATACATTTATATTAAATAGATTTATAGATTTATAACATAATTCTCGATTGAAATAAATAAATATTGGACAAAAAATAAACACCAAGAAAAATGATTTTCTTTGCATAATGATTATCCGCTAATAAGATCAGAAAGACCACCCGTAATAATACTCATTGCAATTTGCGCACCAACTTTAGCGCCAACTTTAGCCACTGTTTTCATGGTGGAAGGTTGTTTGCCCCCATTCTGAATATTATGAGGTGGATTCTGATTGACATAAGCTTGAGGAGGAACATTGTGATGAATGTGAATTACTTGTGGAGGAGGTTGGACGAAAATGATTTGTGGAGTAGGCGCAACAGTCGCAATATCCGGAACAGCCGAAGCAGTTGGAACAGGTGTGTAAAATTCGTTTGCGTAAAATGGAGAAGAAGAATTATTGTTTTGTCTTGCGTTTAAAAACGAAGATGAATTATTATTATTTTTCTCATAATCATCACTTTCAAAATCATTATAATAATAAGTGTAATCGGACGATATATTTAAACCATTGAGAGTGTCATAAGCTGGAGGTAAATCATCATCATCATCGCCGTAACCACTATCTTGTCTTCTTTCTTGATTTTTCGATTTCTTTTGAGTAGTTTTTCTTTTTTGAGTAAAAGATGATTTGTTTTTGTTTAATTCTAATTTACAATCATCGTCACAATATTCATGTAAGTTGCCATATTCTAATAGTTTAGGATAAATTCCACAATTAACACATGCTTTTAATAACCCAGATTTGACAGCAACTTTTCTACATTTTTTAGAACAATATTCTAATTCTTCCCCAGTTCTTTTATTTGTCAAAACTTCTTGATTTTCACAAACTACGCAATAATTACTCATTTTAAAAACAGAAGGTAATTTAAGTTTGAATAAATTATTTAAAAAGATTGAAATATATTTTTTGATAAATTATTTTTTTTTCGTAATCATGGAGAGAGAGAGTATTTTATAATAAAATTGGAAAATACAAATTGCCTTTTGGAGCATATGGGTTTCATAAAGCATTCATTGTAATTGTAGTACATTCGAATTACTGAGATTTTATTGGCCTAAAAAATAACAATTTTCGTTGCAGCAAAATCATCGAAAATTCCAAGTCATATATAACAATTTATTTGTGAAGGAAAGAAAGGAGAAAGTTTTAAGATAAAAATGCAGAATGGGTCTTTTAATATAATTTATTTGAATTGTTAATTACATGTATGCAGAGAATAATAAGTAAAGTTATGCGTGATTTTTCTTCACCCAAAATAAAATATATATGTTATGTATTATTACCAAATTTTTTAATTGTATAAAATGGAGGAGGATAAACTGTCGAGGGAAGGTTTGCTTGTTCACTCAAGAATCTATCAGCAGATGTGGAAGATGTGGAAGGATGACTATGGTTGACACCAAAATTATAAACATTGAGCGGTGGTTGATGTTGAGGACAACTGCTGCTTCTACCATAAATATTTGAAATATTTTGTTGATTAATAGTAGGGAAGAAAGGACGTTGTTGATTATTATGTGGAAAGAATTGATTAGGAGGTTGCAAATGTGGTCGTTGATTCATCAACGGTGGAGTGTTCATTGAGATAGGAACCTTCGGAGGTAATTTCGGAGGTAATTTTGGAGGTATCAATGGGTTGATGGGCTTATTGATGTTATCGGTAGTAACAGTAGCAGCATCTGCAGTAATGGTAGTGGTAGTGGTAGTATTACTATTAATCGTGTTCCTTCTATCTGTATTCGTTGTGCTATTAGTTGTAGATTTCTCTGTAGTGATCGTTTTTTTCTCATCAGACGGTTCAAAAGACAATGGTTTTTCATCTACTCTAGCAGTTAGTGGTAAAGGATTAGGACAAATTGATTCATAAGCAGGAGGAGGCTCATCGTATGTATTATCATCTTCATAGATATAATTTTCTGTATGTTTATCTTGTTTTACTTCTGGATATAATTGATGAGTCGGTACCGTTTGTGATTGATTCTCCACAGCAGCAACAGGAGGAGGAGGAGAAGAAGAAGATGTACTTAATTGTTTTTGTACGATAGGAGTGGTGGTAGTGGCGGTGAGGGTGGTATTAATGGGAGTGGGTGAAGCAATGATGGTGGGAGTAGGTGTGATGGCGGGGGAATATATGGGTGTATGGGTTGTCGTGTCAATAGTAGCAGGGTTGTTTAAGTGATCTTTTTTTCGTGATCGTTCCTTTGATCGTTCATTCGATCGTTTTTCTGACCGTTCTTCTGATCGTTCTTTTGGTTTCTTACTAATATTATTATATTGAATTGTATTTTCGTTAGACGGCTCTTCTACTCTTGAACGACTTCTTTCTCTTCGGGTATTTCCAGCAGAATCCAAATCACCTTGCTTCCTAAAAAATCCCACGGAATCGTCATAAGGAAGTGCATCAATTAAAGATTTACGATCATTCTTGCCACTTCTCATTTCCTCTTCGGTCCCATCACGTTTATTTCTATTAAACATATTAGCAAACATTGAAGGTTTTGAAGATTTGTCTTCATTGTTACTACTATTACGATTATCTCTATCTGAGAGTTTCTTTTTTATTTGTTTTCGATCAGGATTTTTTACTTCCCCGTTATCAGGAGCAAATTCTGCTGGTAAATTTCTAATTTCTGATGATAATGGTACTTCGACATCATCATCATCATGTACCGATAAACGATCTTTTCTGACCTTTTCCCTTCTTTCATATTCTTTTATACCTTTATCCAAACTATCAAAAAAAAATAAAATAAAATAAAAAAATAAATAAACAAACAAAATAAAATAGATGAAGTACTATCAAATAACACGATTTAACGTAGACATACATTAAATAAATATTAAACCTACCCAAATTTTTCAAAGATTTTTTCACATTTCTTTGAACAATAAGTTCCCACTGTCGGTAATTCATCTTCATCTACTATAAGTTTTTCACAAATTTTACAATAATAAATTGCAGCCATTTATAAGAATGTGCGCGTACAATGTTTATAAAAAAAAAAGTTCGAGGTGTTCGGTGTAATGTTCAAAATTTCAGTTATTCAAATAGTTCCTTTTATAACTAAATAAATATTTTTTTTATTTGATCTAAATAAAAATAATGAATGGAGATAATCCCAGTTTTTAATTTTTTTTTTTATTTCTTTCTAAAAAACTTTTTATATCTATTACGAAAACGAAAAATCTTTGTGGAAAAGTTTTATTTTTGTAATAACCATACATTATGTTATTTATTTATAGGTTATTTTAAGGGGGATGTGAAAAATATGAGAGGTGATTATTCGAAAAATATATATTTGGTGTTTTTTTGTTTATATTAATGGCGGATATTGTTTTAGAAAAATGATGTGCAATGTGCATGTTGAATGGATGCAATTTAAGTCACATGTTTTTGTTTCTAAAAAAAGAATTTTAATGAAATTCATTTGTGAAAAAAAAGGATTATAACGATAATTTTTATGCATCCTTTCATAAACATTAACTAAATACTTCAAAACGAAACTAAAAAAGATAAGATAAAAATTATTTTTAAACAATAGGATTTGGTTGAATAATGGGATGCCAATATTTTTACTACCTTTATTATCATAGATTTATAATACGGAAGGATTATTCCGACGCCTTCCAAATCCTTCCGCAGCGGTATTCTTGAACATCACATGATAATCGTTAAGCTAAAGCGGCTGAACCAAATTAGCCAAGTCTTTCATATCTTATCTTAAAGAATGTAAGAAATTATTGTTTAAATGACGAGACACGCTATTTCTAAATAGGTTTTCGAAAAAAGAAAATCTTGAACTATGGTAAATATATATAAAAAAGAGAGATGTTCTCATTTGTTTATTTTATTATCATTAAGATTAACGGATACTTTAAATTTTATATCGGGAAAATTGTTTGATTTGGATGACGTTAAAGATTAAGATCAAAGAAAATTTTAATATGTGGCAAAATTTAATGAGGACATATTTTCTAATTTTAACTTATTTTGACTCATTAACTGCAAAGTTTTCCAAGATATTTATAATCCGGTGAAAATCGGATCAATTATGCGAACAAACAAGATTTTGTGGTTCGTACACGTTATTTATATGGGTATTGATTGTTTAAAGCGAAAAAAAAAAACTGTTAAAACAATCAACTGGATCTGTTATCTTTAAAGCCATTTTACAGTATATTTAATATCATGCACGCCTAAAATTATTTAACTGCTTGGCTTGAATAATTGATATTTAGCGAATTCATCAATAAAATTAGTCATGAAAAATTTAAAATGTTAATAATAGAATTAAATAATTAAATATAAACGTCTTTTATGAACATTGGAATTAGAAAATAGTTCATTCAAAAACTTGGAAAAATGGAAATAACAAAGCAAATGCTTATCACTAAAAAATTGAAATAAATACTTTGTGTAGCTATTCATTTGAATGTTTCAGGAGCGTTCTTTAATAATTGTTCTACGTATGGATTAGTCATGGCTTTATTAAGAAGAATGTGTGCAGTTGGAACTTTTTGCCTTATTTTTATGTAATTAATTATGAAGCAAATAATTATTTACGTATATTCGTTTTTTACATTAGGTGTGTAGATAATTAAATATATACACATATATATGTTATATTATATTATGCATGAAAATATTTGCATATTTCTCAACTTTAAAGAATATTATGAAATATATATATATATAGATATATTTATCGTTATGAAAACGTAAATTCATCTTCAAATCAAACCCTAATTTATATGGGAATAACACACATCATATCAAAAAAAAATGTGTTGACTAAAAAGAATAGAAATTTACAAATGAATGGTAACAAATGTTTATTCAGAATTTGAATATTTTTAGTATCAAAAACTAAAATATATTTAATATATTTTCTTTTTTCTTAAGGAGGCGCAGCGTTACAACTTGATTAATAAATGAATTTCTTTTGCATATACAAATTAAGTAATGCATTGGTTTTGACCATTTTATTAATATTAACATTAACATACACAAATTATGCAATAGGTATAAAAAAAATTACTCTTCAGTTTTATAATTTTGATGTTTATATATCTGTTATGAAAAAAGTTAGGAATCATACTTAACTTGAAGAAGGATATCCATCTTGTTTTTTATTCAAAGAAAATATTTTCCAAATAATTGTTATGAAGTCAAACAATGTAAAGATACCAATAGTATTAGGATATCTAATTGGTTAAAATAAATAAAAAGGGTTGTAACTTATAGTAACAGGTAAATATACAAATATAGTTGTAGTTTACTTATATAAATTTAAAAACAGTATAATTTATTTAATGCAAGAATTAAAATAAGCTTATTTGATTAAGTAATATAAATTAGATCATAAAGAGAATTATTTGATTTATTTAATATGATCAAATAAATAATGATAATTTAAAATAATAATTATTATATATAAAAATTGTTTTATATATAATATATATTAAATTTTAAATATATAAATATAAATTTATATATTATTAAATTGAAAAAAATCTTAAATAATATAAAATAAAAAAAAATAATTTTAAATATATTATATACTAAATATATATATTTAAACTATTTTTTAATAATTTTGAATTTTGATATATTGAACTTAAACTATTTGTTTATAATAAATAAAAATAGTATTAATTGAGAAAGTATTACAATTTACAATATTGTATATATTGAAATTTAAAGATTTAAAATTCACAATTATCATAATTATAATAAATATAATTTTAGAATAAATATTTATATTAATTATAATTAATTTATAATTTATAACTGATTATGTTATAATTAATTAATTGATTTATAATAAACTATATTATAATTAATTAATTTATAATTGATTAATTTAATATAAATAATTTTAAATATAAAAACATTAAAACCTTACTTTAATACTTAATTTTATTTATTAAAAATAATAATATTATAGTAATATTATTTAAATAAGTATAATTTTTAATATAATTTAAATAAAAAATATTTATATATTGTTTATTGAAATAACTTTTGATCCAATGATTACATTTTGATAAATATATGATTATTAGAACTATCCTATTGAGAGTTTTTCAACAAATATAAATTCAAAGTTATTGGATTAATAGAAGCAGAGATAATTTAAAATAAGTGACTATTATTGTAACTTTGTAAATTGCTATTAAAGAAAGCCATAATTTTTTAAACTGCAACCTGACGATCAAAATGATCAAAACCTCAAAAATGATAATAATGTTATTAATTAAATTTATATAATTATTTAAGTTTAATTAGCTTTTTTAATTCACTTAGTTAAATTAGTTAAATTAATTAATAAAGTTAATGAAATTTATAATGTTTTTTAGTTTTATAATTTTACTTTATCTTTAATTAGTAATAAAAGTAGATCAAATAGTTTATATAAATAGAATAGAAAATTGCTATAATAAAAGAAGGTTCAGTTTAGATTTAGTTTAGTTTAATTAAATTAATTAGAGAATTAATTGTGAAATTCATATTCTAATAAATTTGTAAATAAGTGTTTACTTAATTTATTAAATTATATCGATCTACTTATATTTTATTAAAAAACCAAACTTTATCTCTAGAATATAAATCTATTTATAGTTATTACCTATACTCTTAATTTTAAAATCCTATCCTATCCTATTCTATTTTCAAACACCTAATTCCATACTAATCTCAAATCTTATTTAAATACCAAGATATTTTTATTATACATGAAATCAAAATGAAAACCCAAAAGTCAAAATATTTTGACTTTAGATGTCAAAGTCAAAATAAAAAGTCAAAATGGTTAAAATTACATCATATTACATGATTTTTTATATAGAAAAAATTCTAAAAAAATAAAAATATACACTCTTAATCAATATTGTTCTGATTTGTATAAAATACTACCATTCGATTCCTTGCGACTAGATGGATCTAATGAACTAATATTCATTAATTTTGGATCAGTCCATTACAGGATATTTGCGATTAAATTTCAAAATCAGGACCCTTTTATTTAAAGTAGAATTTATTGATTTATAATTTCAGCTGATAATACAATTGCAATTATCTCACAATTGGATAATCCAAAATTAATGAATGTTAGCTCATTGGATCTGTCTAGTTATATAAAATCAAATAGTAGTTATTTTATACGAATCAGTACAATATTGACTGGGATCATAAATTTTTTGTTTTTTATTTTTTCTTAATATGAAAAATCATGTGATATAATATCATTTCGACTATTTTGTGACTTTAGCCTCCAATGGTCGAAATGATTTTAACCAATTCTTTTTCTCATTAGATTTTTTCTAAGAATTTTTACTTAAAAAGTGCCTATTTAAAGGCAGCCACAGCTTAGCCTGCGAACAAATCAAAAAAATCCTCTTTTCAAAATTTTTCTTTCTTTATTTCCCAACCCCTATCCAAATAAAAATTGTCTTGAAGTCTAAACCATGTTGTTTTTTGTTAAAATATTTTTTCTTTACCTCTTTTTGGTATATTTTTCTTGTTTTTTTTTCAAAATTATTTACTCACAAAAGTGGGTATTAAGTAGTATCCTAACTAACGATCACGATCAACATACTTTGAATATATAAATTCACGTAATGACATTCCCATTTTTTTATAAATGGCAACACTTTTTTTGCAGATCTTTGAAGTCGAAGACTGCAGAATTCCACGCAATATTTTTCAGACTTGACTGACTGTGTGATTTGAACCTTATTCTGTATCAGGGATCAGCTGTAATCTAAATTAACAGATATCTTAGCATTGAAAGCGATAATTCGAAAAGCCTCTATTAGAACTTAGTGATATGAGCGCACCTGTGTCAGGTGGTCGCTGTAATTCAGAATTGACTTGACAACTTAGCTAGGAATTTAGTAGAGTCCTATTTATGTTGCTTTTTTTTGTAAATTCTTAGCATAGATGATCAGGTTTTATAGTTAATTC